TCAAAGAGACAGCACAGCTCTGCTGGTGTCAGCCATAGCAGATACACAATTTCCAGAGGTGTCTCTGGCACCAGCATGCACAAACCCCTCTCATTTCAGTTGGAACCTGTGCTGTAGTTTTACATGTTTTGGAAAATTTCCACCAGTGTCTACATTAGAGCTGTATTGCATTGCTGATGCTTGGGAAAGCTCTCTGCAAACTGAAGACCAGCATGGAAACTCTCTGCTTTCTTCTGTTCTTCAGGACAGCATACAGTCTTTCCAACCTTTACAGTTTTTGTATATGCTTCACGTATAAAAAATGTGGGGGGTTTCGTAGGGTATCTTTTTCCTTTTCTTTTTCTAACCCCTGTTGTTTTAATTTCCTGATTTATGGAATATCAGCTTGCATTGAAAAATGCCAAGAAACGTTTGAACACATGAGCCTCTTGAGTCCAAAACTGTAGCAAGTGAGGTAAAAACCTGACGAAAGTTCTAATTAATTTCAGAACTAATTATTTTATTCTGCTTTCAATTCTTATGCTATGCCAAGCTTGGGAATGTTGAAGCCATTAAGGGTGAAACACTGAAAGCTTGACAATAATAAAAAAATCTCTTGCTTTCCTCTTTTTGAAAATATATGTGGAAAGCCATCTGGCTGGGTTTGGAGCTTCCTAACATGGCTGTCCCTCCAGAGAAGTCCACTCCCACAGTGTGTCAATGTGCCTGAAGTCAGAAAGGGACACATGGGAATACCTTAAAATGCTAATGTATGCTAATGGCTATCCACAAAATGGATGTAAGGGGTATTAGTACCAGGTGAGGAGCATCCCCTCATCTTTCCATCCATCATGGGGCAGAAGTAAGTGTGTAGTTCCCTTGTGGTGGCAAGGTGGGAGGATAATCTCTACTATTGACATCCGTGTCGGCTTTCCATCTTGCCACCCCCAGCATTGCTCCATTCAGGCTGTCAAGAGCAGGAATCAAATGCAGGTTGGCGTGGTCATGTCAGTTCATTACCTGATGGCATAGATAACAAGCTTGGGGGAAATCTAAGCACAGTTAACAGATATCAGCCAATTGAGTTTTGTTCCCTCTGGATGCTACCGCACATTAGAAAGTAACCCAGCAAGAGGTTTAAGTGAACATTTTGTTCTTGTTTTTTAAAACATGTCAACAAGTTTTCTGAGATAACTTGCATCTCTGCAGAGTATATCCTTGAGAAAAAGCAGGTAGGTGCCTGGCTGCTGTCAACGTGCTGAGGGAGCAGATTGCTTACCCTCCCTTGCCCTTCCAAAAATATCAGCCAGGAAGTTTAACTGCGTATTAGTAAGGGGCTGATGGTGCCAGCCTCTTTGCTGTTGTTTTCAAGGTCAGCTCTAATTGACCTTGCTCTTGCTTCATTTAGCTGCTCACATCGTTTCCTTTTGATTCCCTGACTGTGCTCTCATTGTTGGGATTTCCGCGTGTTCCTGCATTGTCTTTTGGTTAAGCCGATTGCCGCTTATTTCCTCCCTTTCTGCTTGTGCCTTCTCCTTCTCCTCTCCCCCTCTCTCCTGCCTACGTTCTTTTCTCAGGACTCACTCATTCTCCTATGCCTTGTTTATTATTTCCTCTTCCTGAAATATAGCCCAGATCCCCGACCTGCAACTCTACAGCCCAGATGCCCACTGTTTTCCCAGCCAGCTTTCAGGAGCAACTGTTTCACGCAGCAGATTACTCCTGTGTGGTGGGAGGCAGTTGTTGTACTCAAGCTGCTGCCTCTACTGCAAGCAGCCCGTGGGTTGTATTTCAGCTGTGCAGGGGGCTACAGGCCTTCCTATGGGCACATTCGTGCCTGGCACAGCATTAAGTAGGTGACGTGTCTCAATGTGAGCCATAGGGAGCCCCTGGTGTGCACAGAGGCAAGGTACAACTTGGTGGTGTAGAGCCAGCAGCTCTCCTACCTGTGGCTCTGGCGTACACAGTACACTGAAGGGCACAATTTGGGAAGCCCTGTTGCGGAGGAAATCTGCGTGCCTTCCAGGTGCATCACAGGGTACTCTGGCCCTTCCCAGCTCTGGGACACCCTACGCCACATGCCTCTGCGCCCATCTTCCACAGTGCAGGGCAGAGCAGAGACATTTGCCTGTTGCTTTACTTGCTGATGCTTTGCAAGGAGCCCATGTTCTTTTGGAGAGTGCAAATCTCGCAGAGGAGGAAGCAGCCATGCAAGCGCTTGGCAGTGGGGGAGAAACACTTTCAAGAGCATGCAAGTCCTGCTGGACCCTGTCCCAAGGATACTGGCTTGTGAACAAAGCCTTGTCCAGCCTGTATGGCTGGGGTCAGGTTCCCTCCCGTGGCTGAGAGCTGCCACAGCAGGAACCAGCAGCTCTGCGATGCTGTGCAAAGCATGCAAGGGACAGGTGTCTCGTGCTAAAACCACTTCTCCTGAGACTGGTATCGAAATTACGTCCCATCTCTTGCCAGTTAATGCCAAGGTCCTCCAAGAGAGCACGTCTAATTGCTGTACACAGTAACGGGATAGTCATTTGCAGCCCTTCTGACAGTAGACAGATCTCTGGGATGTTTCTCTTAACCAGGACCAGACCTACTCTTGAGTGGACTGTCATTAAAGTGAGGGGATTTTTCTTATTTGTGTTATGCAAGGTAGAAAACACAGGTTCCTGAGCAGAGGACAGCGCAGTGCATTTTTACCCAGCCTGTAGTATATAAATCCCCCAAAGTCTTTGTCGGCTCTACCACTTTGATCATCCCGGGCAGGTAACAGTGGATAGCTCTGTGCTGGCACTCACAGTTACTGCAGTAGGACATGAGTAGGCCAAGTGTTGTGTGGGTGTGTATATGAGGTGAGTAGGTAGCTCATAATTCATGGATACTATATGTTACCTGCTTTTTGGAACAAGTGCTGCATAAACAGTCGGTGCTACCGAAGCGCTGACCAGTGCACGCGTTTGCTGATGTTGTGCAGTCACCGGGCGTGCCAGGACCGGGCGGGAAGTCAGCACAATGCCTCAAGATATGTTATCAATTGTAAATGCGGCAGGAAGTCATTAAAGATTTCCTGAGCTATTCCCTGGGAAAAGACTACCTCCAGGCTCCAGCAAAGTCAGAGGACTTGTACTGCCAGGGCTGAGAAATCAGAAGAAAAATTGCTCTAATAAGCTGATGTCAGCAGCTTCAGCAGGGAGCCCTCTGCTCCAGACAAATCCTGTGCCCAGGGGGTTGGGGTGGTGATGGATGACAAGATTTAGGGGACATGTGCCAAGGGGCTCTTTGTAGCTCACTTGCTCCAGCCAGGCTCACCTGAGCCTCCCTAAGACTCTGGGGGCTAAGAGAGGTACAGACATAGACAGGTCTGAATCCTTCATCTCTAAAGCTTTGTAAATCCCTATAGGTGAAAATAAGTGGCATCTTATTTTAAGAAAGCTGTTTGGTTGCTCCATGAGCTCTCAGCCACAGCCTCAGGAGGCAGATTCACAGACGCTGAGCTCTCTTGGACCAACTAGGCAAAGACGATTTCCTGCCATCAGGAGGCAATCAGAGACTGGGACAAGAGCGTGAGCAATGAGGGAGGCCAAACCAGGCAGGTGAGAGCAAGGAGCCCCAGTATTTGTAGAGGACTCATTCAAAAAGACTTGAAGGGGGTTGAGGCATGATTTAATGATGATACCAGGAATTCATGTGACTCGTCTCACCTGATGTATGGGATAACTCTCACTTTCATTGCTGCAGATATGTCTGTCTTGAAAAACATTTATGTATTACCAGCAATATGTTTCTATCTTTTTTTTCCCCCCCTAAATCTCACCAACCAGCCTCTGGTCAAGACTCAAAGGCTTACTATGCGGATAAAAGGTCTTGGGGAATTACTGTGGAAATCTGATTTCTGGGCTGTGCCTACAGAAATTTAAAAAAAAAAAAAAAGTAACTACTAACTCTGTGAGATTATTTAACTGCTGAAAAACTTAGTGTTCTGGGTAAAAACAAAGTCATCATACTATGGTCAAGGGAAAAGAGCCAGATAGTTACATTTCAGTGTTCATTTCCTCACTGGAAAAGATGAGCAGAGTAAGAGACCTTTCTTCGTAAAACAAAATAAAACAAAACAAAACAAAAAACCCAACAACAGCAAAAAAAAAAAGGTATGTGAGGATTAGGCAGCCAAACTTCCAGTTTTGAGTACCTGCAAAAATCCTACGAGTGAACTTGTAAAATCAGATAGTCTGCGATGTCTAGCAACCACCAGTATGCACCTGGCTCACAGTCTAATTTTGAGTGCCGAGAGTAGCAGGGACAGAAACGAGTAGTTTGAACTTGATCAAGATGTGTATGGGGATTTTTCCACTATTTATTTTCTACATGCTATTTCAATTTAGGGCATTTGTTCCTTAAATGCAGAGCCTTGCTTACAAGCCTGCCAAAGGTGATACAACTTTTTAACCTGTTGGATCATTTACTGGTTATTCTGTAAAAAACATGTTATTTCTAACACACATAATAACAGAAATAAGCTGTCTCTCCTTTGAAAATTAACATTTAAGGTTACAATAATTTTTCTTCCCCTACAGTGAAGAGTTATAGAATTGTTAGCCCCTAAGCTAGTGTAGGCTGGTCTGCCCCAACTTGAAAATGTTTTGGGATGAGAGAGCGCCGTGAAACGTATTTTGTCCTCTATCTGCTTGGCTGTACCAGTGTAGCATACTGCATAGAAACCAGTAGTCCTTTTTCCTCTCATTGTTGATTAAGGTACCCATTTAAATGGCCAGAAGAGTTTTTCTTATCTCAGACTCACAGTATGTATCTCACATATACGTCTTTGATTCTCTTCCCACAGGAGAGAAAGAAAATATAGCTGAAAAACAAAGGCATATTTCTCTAGCAGGATTTCAAGGGAGAAAGCCTGCCTGCCTGGACTGCAGGGAGGTACCCTACACACACAGAGAAACATTCCCCAGGACTGGTGACACCGTTGTTCAGCCCCGCTCTTGCTGAGAAGGTTTCCACACAACGTTTCAACAATGAATTTCCTCCGGAGGCGTCTCTCAGACAGTAGTTTCGTGGCAAATTTGCCCAATGGCTACATGATGGACTTGCAGCGCCCCGACAACTCCACGAGCTCCCTGGTTTCTCCTGCCATGGAGAGAAAGCATCCTCAGCCACCACAGCCCTCACACTCTTCCTCTACTGGCACCAGCATCTTCAGCTCCATCTCCAGTGCCATGAAGCAAACCACACAAGCGGCCGCAGGACTAATCGACCACTCAGCGAGCCCCACACCACCTGTGGCCCAGAAACCCAAGATCCTCCTGGTGATCGATGATGCGCACACGGACTGGTAAGTCATCATGGTCCTCCCTGCTGAATTCAGCTCCACAAAGTTTGGGGGATGAGAGGGAAGTGGGAAGCACGGGGCATCTGCAAGGATGTACACAGATACTTTCACATCTAGGTCACCAACTCTGGCCCCAGGTCGGTGTCTGTCCAGTGACTTGCGTAAATGTCAGAGTAAGCTTTTCTCATTTCTTTCTTGAAAAAAGAGTTCATTTGGCACTCATTGGCAAACTTCTTTATAGTCTCAGTATATGAGCACACATAGAGCATTCTTGGCTCAGCAGGCTTAGCTGAGCTGTCACATCTACCAATGGTCCTAAGAAGGACACCATCACAGCTGAAGGTGTGTTAGTGATGCGGTTCAGGACCTTAGCTTACTGTTTGTACTGGCTCTAAAAGTGAAAAGCGACTCAATCTCTCCAGCTCTCAGTCTCTTTTGAGCTTTTCTCTGGATGTAAATTTGTACATAAATTACAAAAAGATAACCCAAGCTTACTACTACCAATAGTAATGACTGGAGTTAATTTGCTGGTCAAGGGTCCTTAACCTGCTAATCATAGTGGCTATTGGCAAAAGTCTCTCAGGCTCAGCCAAGTCTCAGATTTGTCTTGTTCATGCAGGTCTCTGTTTACAAACAAAAGTTTGGAAGTTTGTTTCCTGTGATATTGGGCAGCAGAAGACACTTTCCAAAGGATAGAGGAACTGAAGTCTTCTGAAATGTTAGAGAAATTATTTACTGCTTGCTGTGTGCACCCTTTCAAAGTTGGCTGGTTTAGAAAGCTTTAGGCAAGCTGGCCAAGAGACTTATTTGGGGGAAAATCCAGAGCACGTGTTGAGGAGATGCTTGTTTCATCTGCCAGCTTGTCACAACACAGAAAAAAGGACAGGGTCACACAAGCAAGGGGACTGTATTGAAGACCTCAAAATGAAAGAAATTGCGTTACGAGGTCTTGGCCAAGGGAGATTATTTTATTGTTCTTTTCATCCCACGCCACTCTTCAGTAAAGTTGTCACTTTTAGTCTTCCCTGCTTTCCCAGGAGAATGGGGACAGGGTGGCACCTGCCTCCCTGGGTGTATCTTCACAAAGCAAGAGCTTAGCTCTTAGCTAAAAAGGGGCAATGACTGAGTACAACTAGGTCAGGGTTCTTCAGCCAACTTGAAGTAAGAGAAGGAAAACAGTGGGACTTTTCTCAAAGGAAAACCAACTTTTTAACTGAGTGGGAAAGTCCCTGATAAGGTGGTTGTCATATCAAATGTTTCACCGGCCTACTGTCTTTTATCACAGTAGCAGCCTCTTAATGCCAGATAGTTTAGTCAGCAACACCAGTCTAGCTCAACCCTGATGTCTCCTTCCTGAGTGCACCTGCAAGTCTCCCAGAAGGCTGATGCTCACTAACCTCCATCTCTGCTTAGCATTTTTGCAGTTCCTTGAAGATGCTGCCAGGTGGCAGTCCCTCAACATAGCATCCTCCAGCTAGGGCTGGGAGTGCCTCTAATGCACAGCTCTAGCATCTGGGGCTTAGCCGGCACTACTTAGTCCAAACACTGTAATCAGAGAGGAAAGCCCTAGCTCAAAGGCCAATCTAGTTTTTCCTTGAGATTAATGGTACTGAGGGTAGTCTGGGCAGGGGAAAGGATGAGGAGGGGTTGGACTCTTTTGCAGTGTTTTCATGTTTTAAAATACACACTGCATTCAAATCCCTGCCTTTATATCTCCCAGCTGCTGTTCTGTCATGCAGACTTCGTGGTCTGTGAGCTGAGCTCGCCCAAGGAGCTGCAGGAAAGAGCAGCTGGGAGATATAAAGCGGAGGTATGGCTACCCGTGCTGTCTTCACTCCTCCACTCATGTGTAAGCACTCTGCGCATCCTGCTGTCTTGGCTATCCCTCTGCTGTCTATAACTTAGTAGTTTCTATACATGATGGGGGACCCCTTTCATCTCTCCCAGCTCTCCGCCTTTATCCACAGGCTTGCAGATGTCAAATAATGCTGCTTGCAAAGGCTCCCTGCCTTCACTCTCTCTAAGGTTGTGAGGGCATTGAACAAAATTAGTGTATGCATTCATTACCATATCATGACATATGTATGACATGAAAACCAAGGAAACAACATTACTAACCCTTGCCTGCAACAGATTTCCATGGCTCTTTGTAGCATGGACAGAAACACATGCCTAGAAACTTCCCCAGCCTAAAGGTAGCAGGTGGTCCTTTCTGGGAGAGCGTACCAATGCAACTACTCCAGTGGGCCAGGAGTGCTACTTGGCAGTTGATTTTCGTGTCTCCAGGAAACTCAGTGAGCCCTTGAGAGCAGCACTGGAGAGCAGTGGCTCCATGGCTCCATGGATGTTTATTCTTGGTAAGGTACTTCTGAGCAATGCCAGTCATCTTCTTGGTCTCAGCCAGGGTGTTATGTGAGCTCAAGCTGACCAGCTCAAGGCAGCAGTGTTTGCCTTGTGAGAGCACAGCTGAAGAAGCTGGTTATCCAGGGATTCTGGCTGTCCACTCTGCATCACGTATGGAAACAGTCCCAGACTTTGGAGGGTGAACAACAACCTATTGTTACTTCTGTGCTGGTGATTTTGGGTTTGGAAGAAGCATCAAGTTTGCAATGCATTTCACCTCTGCCTGCTCTGGTTCTTGTTACTTGTGAAACCTTTGTATTTTGTTTTCAAGGAACCCTTTTCCTTCTCCTTTTGAAACAGTTAACTCTACTAGAAAAGATCCCCAAGAAACAACTACTGAAGCGCTACCTTTATTTTAAAGGCAGGGGGCTTCCACAATGCCTCCTTGCCCCACAGCAAGTTACATGGCGTTACAACAAGGACTAGCTTGTTCATGGACAGGAAGGGTGAGAGACAGTGGGATCTGCCATTTGATTTCTCTTCTTTAAATGAAAACACCTTCTCATAATTGGAGACTGTAGCAATATTGCCAAGCCAGACATTAATTTATCATCACTGTTTGTATTACAGCAGAGGCAAAGAGCTGAAACTGTGGATTAGGGCGAGGTGTTGCACAAGCGCGTGACAAAATGCTCTAACAACCCAAATAGGCAAGTGCATGTTGAATGCACTTTAAAGTGACAAATGGCAATCCTTTCTATTTTTAAGGAGTTCCTATGTCTCTGATGGCACAGTATAGCACTCAACTTCTCTCAGAGGTCTGGAGGAAGCAAAGAGCATCCATGGAAATCCATGACCTGTCTTCCTCCATAAAATCCTTACCACTCTTGACATGCAATGTGCTCTGGTTTATTCCGAAGACGAAGTACTATAAAAACAATGTGAGCCCCACAGAATACGATCAGCTGCTTTCTGCATTAGCAGCAGTAAAAGAAAGGTACATTCTATTAAAAGCAAGGGAACTCGCCCAGCTTTCTGTTAAAGTGGCAACGTTTTGACAAATTTTCCATCCTTCCCTAAGACCCGGCCCTAGCACATTGCAAGGAAGCACACAGTGAATCTGCCACATGCAGGATGTGCACAAGAGGAACACAACCTGTACGGCTCCCTTGTGTTCCTGGCTTTGACAGGCAGCCCTCAGAGTCACCCACAGCAGTGAATATATCCATGCATTGGCACGCTAGGGAAAAACTCTGCTTCTCTTCAGTCATTAGTGGCACGTATCTCAGCCGGGTAGCCTCCACCCGGAGAATGAGGCACCTTCTTGTGGGCTGGGAGTGTCTGTGCCTTGGGAGACTTCCAAAAATGCATCCACAACTCACCTACAGCAGCTGCCAGAAAGAAGGAGCTCAGACATGAATACATGCACACGCACACACGTGCAAACACACAGCAAAAGGGAGTGGGACCATGAGGAAGGGGGATGGCAGGACTCCATGTAATGGCAGATGGGCCAGCTCCGGCAGCCTGACCTCAGCCAGGAGGAAAACATCCCACCTCTGGCAACTTCCTCGCCCAATGTGCTAGTAAGTAAAATCATGCTTTTGCTGGATTGAATTTCTCAGCGGATCAAACAGAGTTTAGTACTGTGAATTGTTAACCCCGATCCTCTGCAAAAGTGCTCAGCTTTCTAGCCTAATGCTTCATGTTTAAACAGCTTATTTGGGAAGTGATTAAGCACAGCTAAGGCTCCTATCAACAACGTATGCTAAAAACATTGCTTTTTGGACCAGACAGTATAACAAAGTTGTTCTTGTTGCATTTGTTAGATATCTTGGTTGCATTTGTGAAATACCTCATATCACTTTTCAAAGCCATTGATGTGTTTTGTCCAAATTTCAGGCCATTTCAGGTGCTAACAGTGTTACATGCTGTCTTGCACAAAATACGTGTGCCCTATGTGCAGCAGTTCCACACGCAAGGATTGTGCCATGTTTCACAGAAAAAAAAAGCCACGGAGGGTATTTTAGGAGACACAAAATTGCATTGTTGTTTTCCCATTATTTACTTTACAGCCAAATCTGCCTGAACATACTGTCTCCAAAAATTTAAAGATGAAGGAAGAGAAAAACTGTCATTAATACTGAATGAAATCCTCTTAATACATCTGAAATGGTTCTTTGTATAAGAATAATGTCATGATTCAGGTCTAATTATGGACTGACCTGACAGGATTACTGTTTTATACTGTTCTGAGGAAATTATCGACCCTTTTTTTATTAAAATAAAACTATTTTTACTTCTGATAGTACATGACAATATTGAGCCTTAAATATGTCATTTGTCAAAAAATATAATTGGTCAAATAATAACAGTCTAATACTGAATTTTAGTAACATGGGACTTCCTAAATCCTATTTTTTTTTGCAAGGAATTGCTTTTCAAAAATATTCAATGAGTGCTATGAGTCATTTCATGCTTTCAGTAGGCTGAAGATGACATACTAAGGCTCCCATTCACAGGAATATTTCTGTACCTAACTCAGTTAAATACAATGGGAAGTTTTGGACTAGCTTTTGGCTTTGGACTTCATTATAATTTATCTTTATTATTATTATTCAGAATTGATACTTCAAGCTTGACCTCAGGAATTTGCAGGT